TGTAAATTCCTTATGATCGGGATCATTAAGTGATGGTGCAATTATAGGAATGTGAGTTCCATCAATAGCACCTATCACTCCCGGAAAGCCACCTAAACTCATAAATTTTTGTTTGACCAATGCCATCTCAGTTTCAGAACTTGGAAATTTTATCCAGTGATGAAGAAGGATGATGTTTATTGCCTTGCTTACTGCTGTTATGCAACGGCTCACTGATGGCTGGCTAATTTCTAAGGTGCTGTCTTGTGCTACTGGCATCTGATAAGAACCAGAAGCAAAAAATCGAAGAGCGCATAATACCTACAAGAAAACAAATTTAATAAAACTAATGAAGCTCACAGATATACAAGGTACTTAATAAGGTATACTTATTAAGGTACTATAATATACAAGATACTTGTATATTATTTCAAAAACTTATCTACAAAAATTTTTATAAGCATATGTGTATTCAAATTCATATTGTTATATGAACATCAACAATTTTGTATTAAACAAAATCTCCATGTTAATGTGACTTTAAAATGCCATTATTTGGGAAACATATTCTCTTATACACAATTTTCATATATTCTCAATAATTTTATACATTCATTTTTCTATAAATAAAAGAAAATTAATTCCATATTACTCTGAATACATATTTTATTTTAAAATTTGCTAAATGATTATTACTCTTTAATTATAAATACATTATAAAATGTATCTTATGTGTAGTATATTTTATAATTGGTTACTATAATTTAAAATTGATACTTATATATATAGTGAAAACAGTAAATGTTAATATTAATTAATTAATCTATCAAACTATAGTGTATAATTTTAGTTTAATTTCTTCAAAGCTGCAGCTTACATTGTATATATAAAAAATAATGTTTACTCAAAATTCTTGTTAAAAATTACACTTAAAAAGTGTAACCAGCATATACTAATCTCCACGAAACTTTTATATATTTACATTCAAAGCTATCCATTTAATTTATATATATGCGAATAAAATCTATTTCATAAATAATGTTCACGCTATAGCTACTTACTTTAAATTTGAACAAAAAAGCAATTATTCATAAATAGTTAAAGTAATTATTTTTAAGCAATACGACAACTTAGTTTATTAACATTAAAAAGCTACTTACTTTTATTTCTGCAGATAGAGCATTTTTCTTAAAATACTTTGGCTCTAGCGTATCTCGTAATGGTTTCGAAAGACGATAAAGTTATTTGAACCGTGTATCGTTCAGCCGAAAAGCATCAGCTCGAAGATTAAACTGAGATTCGCTACGTCGAATTCTAATTTCCTCTCTCTCCAATTGTTCGCGAAGTAATATCATTCTCACACAGAACGACGCCATGTTGTTTACTCTTTCGTTACGTTCCTAACGGCAGGTAGAGAGTGACCGATAACAAAAGCTTAGTTATCACACGTGACTATCGGAACCGGAAACGAAATGTACGGCTCAGAATAGCATTTTCACGGTTGATTAAACGCGAATCACGTGGTTCTGATAGAAACTGGTTTTTATCGTATTTGTTAGCTTAACGATACAACTCAGAATAAGTCCCCAGGATAATCAGGAAGACCCACATCTCTGAAACCTAGGACGGAAGGGACGAGGAACCCAATTTCCCTTTCCCAGCGACAACTCTCCATTCCGCAATTTCCAAGACTATATCGGAAACGTACTATCTCCTCCGGTTGTTTGTGTTGTGTGTGACAACCTACAGCATCGAAAGGAACTATCCGGTGCGCCTTTCTTCTGTTTGGGACGCCCTTCGACCAGACGGCTGAAACACGACGTATCTGTAAGCATGCTTTAGTACCAAATAAACGCGTAGAATTTCGTAACTTCGGTCTCTATGTGAGTCTCTTTGCGTCCTGCAAACCACTACCCCCATACGAAAAGGGCTTTCTCGTGTCATCCTGACAGATCACGGGAAAAGCGAGCGTATCCTCCTTTAACTGAAAGGTCGACACCTTCTCACATCGCAGACCCACAAGTGGTGCCCACAGTGGTGTCAACAACTTCTCAAACCCTACAATAGATACTCAAAGTCCCGAAATTCCATAGGTGGTTATCTATATAATAATTTCCCTAATTGTATTAATATTTTAAACCGTTTGATTTTTTGTATGTTTTTTAATTGGTTGATAATTGATTCTATCAACTAATTTGTTGATTGTTTGATTGTATTAACTTGATTCTTTACATATCGAAAATTAAATAAAGAACATTATGTGAATTTAAGCGTACAGAAACGTTGCTGTTGTTCCAGCAAAGATCTCATTTTCACTTTACCGAGTGCCTAGTAAGTAATTTGCAGATTACCTAGGTAATTTGAGAAATAGAGCAATTTTAGCAACTTTAACGGATCATTCTAGTTAATCTGCAGGTTAGCTAGGTAATGTACACATTAACGACTTTCGAGCTTTAGCGGTAACATATGCACTAAAACTAAGCTTTATCTCTGCTTGGGTTTAGGTGGCAAGTTGCAAAGGAAGCAGTTCGTATGAAATGGATGATGTCAGTTTATACATTATTTTATTTCTAAATAACATAATGTATAAAATTGTTCATGCAACTCAACAGGTTTTCTCTGTAATTAAAGAAATGTTTTCTTCGTTCAAAGTCATAAATTCTTCAATAAAAATAAACCGATTCGTTGCAATTGCAAATAAACTACAAAATTAAGACCAAAACGGTCAGATGTTTAGAATTCTATTGAATTATAAAGAAAATTTTATGATTATTGTGCACATTTGTTTGTCTCTGTACGTATCGATATTCGTTGATGTTACTTTATACAACTTTATAAATGAACCGAACGAAATAAGCTACTATTGCCATCGTGTCAACGTTTCTTTTCTTAAAAATTATTTAAATAAAATTAAGAAAATATTGACTGATACTTATATAATTATAAAATTAACAAGACAACGTACAAAAGTCACTTAACCTATACGTATACAGCATGGAAACAACAGTTTCTTTCAGGCCGAGTACTTTAATATTTAATCGATTCATTGGTGAAAGCCTGTTCTAAATTCTTTCTTAATATTTCAGAATACATTTAATAGAATTAGTACTTATTTTTCATGCAGTACAACTTTGAATTGAGAATGTTTTATCTTTATATCAATAGGAACTCTTATAGCAACGGTCATTTTTACAGAGGGAGGGAAAGAAATTCGCGCTAGTGTTTAGCGAATGCCTGCAAATTAGAAATGTCTATGTTGAGTGCCCTATTAATTTACAAAATTACTAGCCTGTGAGAGACTTATGCTGCGGTGCTTTAAAGTTACGTTAAGAATGGTTGCTTTGGAACAGTTGCTTGTTTCCATGTGTATTAAATAAGACACTTAACGTTATGTCTTATTTGATACGCATCAAATATTAAAAATTAAAACACACAGGCTAAATAAACCGCTAATTGCTATTTATTTACATGCCACTAGTTTATTTATTTGTTGGAGAGAAAAACAATTATTGTTGTTCTGACTGTTTATTTCACCTATTTCTTTATAGTAACTTTCGCTGTTAGATTAACTCATACTACGATATTACAGATATTTATCTATATATATATAATCGAGATGGTTTAATATTAATAATAATAAGCGCAGAACGTAAACGGTTAGAAGTTGAAAGTTACAATATGGTACACAGTTATAGTATGTGAGATTAGCAGTGGGCCACTGGGCTCATCCCAAATGACCACTCACTCTGCAACATGTTGGTAAAACCCGTTCTCGGCTTGTCGGATGGCTAGGAGGGCAATAAATTTGAGTGGGGAGTGCGTTGGTAAGTCGGCAGGTGTCCTTCAAAGACAGGAGACAGGTTTAAAAACTAAACAAGCATTTATTTATAGAACTAAGCTAGGATACATAGGTTAAATGCGATAAAGTAAGTTCACTATACAAAAGGAACGCTCTAATAGCTTTACCTGCTAGTCTGAGAGAGAGCAGTACAAATACCTGTATGCGGATATGTCTAATATGCGTTCGTTGAATAGGTTCGTTAATGGCGATGGAAGTTCAAATGACTGTGGTTGGTGGTATGTCCTTTCGGTCCGGAGTATGGAGACAAATATGGCACGTCTACCAAGTATAACTTCCGAGGGATCGCTCGGTGCTTCCGGGGACTCGAGCTTTTATACGTTATTCGTAGGAAATGAGTCACGTGATCGACTTCTGTTGAAACTTACGGTGCATTCCGATCAATTAAGTGTCAACTTTCCCATTTTAATGTGAAAACAATCGGTGACCTCTGATATACTTCTCACCAAGAGTGGGTTTTTCCTCGGAGTTGTTTACAAAGATTTTTCGGACATCGGCGTAAAAATCGCAGATTTCACATAGTACGTCATGAAAATGTACAATAAGAAGGGATTTTTGGAAATTCTTTTCTGCGGAAAAAGGAGGTTAAGAATATCCAGAAAAACTTGGTTTCTGTGTACTGTTTAAATACGGTTTTTTGCATTTCTGCGGAAAATCGAACATATTTTAGAATTTTTAGATGTGTCTAAAAGATACATCTAAAAATTCTTTAATTACTCTCGAAAGAGGAAAGACCGAATTCTTGCACACGGTGAAAACGGGTAAGATTGACTACAATTCTATAATCTTAATCTTCGCTATCGTTACCTTTTGTCCGAGTAACGACTGTGTCATCTGTTAGTTAATAAACAGTATATTTTTAACACAGAGGCCTACTAGTGGCCGAGTGCAAAACACCACTGGCTACGTGGAGTATTCTGGAATAACTTTACGTCTTTAACACCTTAATAGGGACAGTTTCCCTTAGAATATCCTCACAGAAGGCAACCCTTTGGCACATCGCCACGTGTAGCGTTGCTATATACAAACAAACAAAATCGACAGTGATGTTTCTTTGTTTCGTTTTATGGTAATTTTCATAAGGAATAAAACCTGAGTAATGTTTATAATAATTTGTTTCTAATTTAAACCGAACTTTTTTAGGTTCAGTTATTTCTTTATCGTGTAAACAACAGTTGTATATTATTTATCCTGCAGATAATAGATGCACATTTAAATACAGTTAAATTTTTACGTCACCATTCTACTTTGTAGTACGAAAACTCTTCTAACATTTCGCACACTAAAATCTAATTTAATTATTTCTACTCTAAAAAGGCCATTGAACACATATAAGTACCACTAACACGCATATTGGTAATACGATTCCCAATATTTATCGAATTTAAATCTGATTGTAGGCACCCAAACATCTATTTTTGTTTTACTGATACGATAATGTGCTGTCGAGAAATAATGCTGCTGAACTCAGTATGAGATGATCAAGCAATAATGAAAAAAAAAAAAAAAAAAACTGAGTAGGGCTTTTCTCGGGTTTCATGGCACTCAAATGGGAGGACAAAAGGATCAGGAAAAATGTCTGATAACACTACTTAACAAATAATATAAAAACAACAATATTTATGGAATATATATTATAGCGAGTATATAGATGTATAAACAACACTTTTTATGAATGGGGCAAACATAATTTTCGAGCACGTAAATATTTTCAGTTTAAGAATATCATTTACCTCTAGTTTATCAGTGATGGCACCCAAATTTTCGGAAAAAATAATTGAAATGCGGATGTAAAAGTGTAGTTTAAGCGACATCCTTCAACCCATTTTACTGTACTTTTCGAGAAATTCTCCTACAAGTTTTTCATAGTTTCTATTTTTCTGTTGCCCGAAAACTTTTACGACTTTTTTTAAAAAAAAAACGTACATGCACATTGTTCATCGTCATTCAATGTTTGATCAAATTGTGAATCTTGTATTAATTTTCTGATCTAATGTTCAACAAATATTCCTTTCTTCATTAAGCTTAGCTTCACTAATTTGAAAAAAAATCCTTAACGAAGGATAGGTTTGTGGACTCGATTAAACGAGAAAACCACGAGATATTATTACATGCCTCTAAACTTGAAATATCTAAATGATCGTGAAGTGTTCCAAGAACTTGTTCGACTTAAAGTAAAATAAGTGATTTTTATTTTAAAAAATTTAATGACATTTCTGTATTTATTTGTATTTCACATGAACATTTCTGTACTCGGTACGAATTTAATTCCTTCTTCAAATAGAGAAATTTCAAAATGTGATTTCTCTGTTTAATGGCTCATTAATGTTGTTATAATTGTTCAGAAACAGATGGCTCGAGCATGCAGAATCCACGTGTACGCGTTGTACTTGTATGCATTTAATGTATATAAATATCGACTTCTGCTCTTGGTAACTCATTCTAAACTCGTTTAGATAGCTTCGAAGATGAACTTGTTGTCGATAATCACCGCTTGTTTGGTCCTATCCGGTGAGTATGAACTTATAATTGATTAAATTGGTTGTTAATTTTATAAATGGCATAATTTAGTATCGTTACAATTTATAAAAAAGTTATGAAATTCGCGTTATATTTATTACATTATATTGTATTTTTTGTGGAAATGGAAACACTCGCAGATTATAGCTTGTTCTTTCATATATGACTTGAATCAAAAATGTTTTACACATATATTCAGTGGAAAAAATATAAAAATTTAGATAAACTTATTTTAGTATTATAGTAATTGGAACAATCTGAATTAAATTGCTCGAAATGGCATAAACTTTCTTAACGTTGAATTATTTATGTTCTATGAAATTTGTATTCGATTAATACATAGCAATGCAACACAAAGGCAATCTGCCAAAAAGGTATTCTTTTCAAGAGAATACTCTACGGGTCACTAATTTCTATTTTCTATTATTTAGGTATTTTAATTTTTATTTAAGCGTTACACGTCTAAAGTACACGAGTTTAATTGTGTTATCCACTCGGCCACTGATGGTCTTTATATTTAAGTATGAATATGTAGACATGTCTTAATGAGTGATAGTTTTTTAGTACAGTGATCGCTATTTGCTTTATTGAATTCTCTATTTGCAGTCACTTCTATGCGTTGATTTGAGAGAAGTGGGTAAATAGAATAACATCATAAATTCAGATTTACAAGAAACTGTGTCCTCAAGATATTCATTAGAATGTCATTTTCTTGGCTAGATAATTTACGAATGACACATCATCTCCCTAGTGTTTAAATTGCATATCTATAATCAGGACTGTTTTCAATGTTCATGTGATATAATAATAATGTACTTTTTTTTATTATATTAATAAGTATCACTTCTTACGGTTAAACAAGTCCATTTTTTTGTATTTGTTGCAGGAACAGTGTGGGCAAAAGAAGGTTATCTGGTGAACAAGGAAACGGGCTGCAAACTCGCATGCGTGACCACGGGAGAAAACAAAAACTGCAAACTTGATTGCAAGAACCAAGGAGGTAGTAAGGGCTATTGCTTACTTTTTAGGTGCTTCTGCGAAGGATTGTCCGAAAGTACACCGACTTTTCCCATTCCTGGTAAAACATGCAGCGGAAAATAATGGCAACGCCTTTTTATTGTGCACCAACAAAAATATTGTAACGCTTGTTAATTGCAATTAAATGAAATAAAATGTAATATTTTCATTTGAGATATCTCTATTATGTGATATTCAGTTTCGAAATATAAAAGCATTATGAATTTCTTTCGTATGAAATCATTGAACTTTTAATTATAAAAACATTACCTTAATCTTATCATTCTCTCACTGAACCTACGTTTTGAAATTTGCTAGCTTAATTATAATTTCATTTTCTTAATGTTAATGATAATTCTGAAAGACTTGACACAATTAACGAGTGTTTCCATTTATATTTTTTAAAATCATTTATAAAAAATTATTTTATTCATGTAAATTACAGGTGTAAATTGCTGTACGTAAAAGATACCTTAAGGACTATAGATCTTGTATACAATACTGTATATGTTACCGCTAAAGCTTGAAAGTCGTTAATGTGTACATTACCTAGCTAATCTGCAGATTAACTAGGGTGATCCGTTAAAGTTGCTAAAATTGTTCCATTTCTTAAATTACCTAGATAATGTGCAGAGTATCTAGGTAATCCGCATATTACCTACTAGGCACTAGGTAAAGTGAAAATAAGATCTTTGCCACAAATAGGTGTGCTTGTCGCAAAAACCAATTGCTATCAAATTCAAAGTGTCACCAATCTTTAGACTGCAATAGTAAGTAAGCACAATTGGATAATGTTACCTATGGTGAGTAAAATGGCGGCTCGTCTCTGATTCCAGAAAAGAGAAGAAAGGAAACAGTGGGGACGTACGTTCAAACCTAACCTAACCTATTCTAATAATTTGGTTGGTAATAATTATAGTAATTATGGTAATTAGGTTAGGTTAGAACGTGCGTCCCCACTGTTTCCTTTCTTCTGTTTGCTGGAATCAGAGACAAGCCGCCATTTTACTCACCACAGGTAGCATTAACTGCACAATTACATCATGCGATCACCAGAAAAAGTATGATAACTTTATTACTTTTCGTCTCCGGTCCAAAAGTAGGGTATCGTTGAAGTCGTCTCGGTCTCGTCAGTTCAGATAGATACTCAAAGTCCCGAAATTCTATAGGTGGTTATCTATTGATATATAATAATTTCCCTAATTGTATTAATATTTTAAACCGTTTGATTTTTTGTATGTTTTTTAATTGGTTGATGATTGATTCTATCAACTAATTTGTTGATTATTTGATTGTATTAACTTGATTCTTTACATATCGAAAATTAAATAAAGAACATTATGTGAATTTAAGCGTACAGAAACGTTGCTGTTGTTCCAGCAAAGATCTTATTTTCACTTTACCTAGTGCCTAGTACGTAATTTGCAGATTACCTAGATAATCTGCACATTACCTAGGTAATTTGAGAAATAGAACAATTTTAGCAACTTTAACGGATTACCCTAGTTAATCTGCAGATTAGCTAGGTAATTTGAGAAATAGAACAATTTTAGCAACTTTAACGTATCACCTTAGTTAATCTGCAGATTAGCTAGGTAATGTACACATTAACGACTTTCGAGCTTTAGCGGTAACATATATACAAAACCAAACGGTTTCCTTAATTAATCGGGCTAATTAAATGTTATCTATACTAATATTATAAAGAGGTAATGTTTGTATGTATGTATGTATGTTAGTTTGTATGCAGCAGGTAATCTCCGAAACTACTCATCCGATTTCAAAAATTCTTTCACCAATATTTAGAATGGAACTTCAGGGTGGACATAGGCTATATATTATTCCGTTAAACATGGGGGATGGACAGTTCTTTACGGTAAGCCTTACGGAAAAGGTTACTGTAAAGAACTCTGTTTCTATTTATACCATTTTAGATGCAGTTTTTTTTCGTTTTTGATTGCGTTTTAATAGAGTACGTCAACAGAATGTACACTAAGAAGGGATTTTTCGATATTCCCCCCGCGGGGGAGAGAGACAGGATTAAGGCTTACTCTGAAAAACTTCGCTTCTATTATACTATTTTAGATGCGGGTTTTTGCGTTTTTGATTGCGTTTTAATAGGGTACGTCAACAGAATGTATACTAAGAAAAAATTTTTCGAAAAATTTTCCCCCACTGGGGAAGTGTTATACATTTGTAATAGATACATTTTGAGCTGCAACAAAGCGTGGCGGGGTCTGCTAGTTATTAATAATTAACTTATTAAGTAATCTGGTACTAGATGTAAGCCTTAGGCGCTATCTTTTATTAAATTTAGTAATTAGAATATTCACTAATTAATTTAAAATATTCAGAAACAAAAAGAAAAGCGATAGTTTCGAGTTCGAGTTCTGCTCCAGATCGATTCTTTAATGGAATTCGTTGAATTTCTATGATTTTCTACGTTGTTGAAACTTTTCTGAATATTAACGAATTTTGTTTCGAAATGTTTAAGCGTACATTGATTGAAGAACTGTACAGGATTCAAATGTATATAAAGTGTTTGGTTCTATCGACTTTTTTCGAGACTCTTTGAAGACTTTCGCAGATATTTTTAATGCTATCAGCTAGAAATTGACTACGTAACTAAAGAGTTCACAAAAAAGCGGAATTAATTACTCGTATTATTTACATAAGTTTCAATTATATTCCTCACTTTGCATTGATTGCGAGTAACGAAAAATGTGTGAGTGACCACAAGCAAAGATAAACTGCGCTGCTCATCTGAAGGCAATTTAAATACTTAATTAATTTACATAAACTTCTAAATATTTATGATAACAGTCATTACTCTAATTACAAATCTTTCATTTACGGGCATGAGCTTGTAGGCTATATAGCCCCGTGGTAATGTGGGACGTAATTGTCATGTACAGTCGACCCCCCCTATAACACGGTAGATACGTTCCGTTCTTTATGAATCCATTTTGTACGAGTCCTTGCCAATTACAACCCGGCACGTATGCACTTTACGGACTCTTTCAAAGGTTTTCTTCCATAAAATTAATCGATTCCTAGACTAATTCGACTCAACATTTCCAAAACACGTACATTTTTTTGGGGAATAATCTGTGTAAACTACGCTATAAACAAAAAATTGTAGGATTACTTACCGAGTGTGCACCGTTCGACGTCGCCATTGCTTAAGCTTGTTTTCGTCGCGGAGCAGCGCACCATACGGCAGCCGCGATTTCTAATAAGTTATTTTTTTGCGAAAACTTCGTTGAACTTTGGAGACATCATTAATATAAATAATTTTTATGGCCGTTGAATAAGAAATGTTTCTTTCACAAGAAATGTATAAAATTAGTGCTGTATTAGACTTACGGTACCTAATTTACATACTGTACAGACGATAGTAAACTCAACTTACTCGCCTAAACTCTC